CACTGATATGAAAGTAAAATTACAGAGGGAGAGATCAACTTTATACACACCAGAGTTAGATTAGAGTGTATACAGATGATTCAGCCAAGAGAGCAGTAAGATTTGGAGGAGGAGGAATATGCATAGAATGCCCAAATGGCTTAAAAATTAACCAAGCCATACCAACAGGTTCATATTCCTCCAATTACAGATCAGAGGCAGATGCACTCCTGGTAGCATGTTCTTTTCTGAATGGACATCAGCACAGCAAATATAGCAGAGTGGTCTTTCAGACTAATGCTATGTCAGTTCTACAAGCTATTGTTAACCATAAGACACACAGTGTGTAGACTTGACGAAACAGCTGATTCACTTAAGCTCTTAGGTAGAATAATCTGTTCTGCATGGCACAACCTAATAGTGACTTAAATCACCAAGAGACTAAGACATTAATACTATCTAGTATCCAAGAAAGGTGGCTGGATAAACACACTGAATTCTCTCCTCAAGACTCTTCATCACCTCTCTAGACAGGGACAGTGTATTATATTCAGACTAAGGACAGGGCACAACAGACTTCATCAACAGATGTTCAAACTTGTCGGTGTAGGAAACTCGGAGATGTGTCCCTGCAGTGTGGCACTAGAAAATTCTGAGCATGTGCTCCAACACTGTCAACTGTATGCTGCCAACAGAGATGCAATATAGCCTGTTTCAACCCCAATGAAGACCAAACTGTATGGTACACAAGGGGATAAGGACTGCGCCATAGCTTTCATAAAGGTTACCGGCTTCCTGATATAAGTTTTCTGACAGAAGGTTCGAAGAAGAAGAAAAAAAAAAATAAGATCCTCAATAAATCCTGTTACCATTATCATCAGTCATCATCATGATCATCCCCACCATAAAAATAATCAATAAATCATCATTATTATCATCATCACTGACATCCTACTCATTATCATCAAAAAAACTTTTCTCTTGCAACAATTTCATTTTCCAAGAAATAATGCTGTCAATGAGCCAGAGTCCCCCTGTATGATCAGATCCTGAAGAATATCTTCTCAATAGTTATACTTTTTTCCTGTGGTGTTTTCTTGTATTTCAGTCAAGCAATCAAGTGTTGTCTCCACTGTGAAGGTTAACTGCAATCGATCTCCAACATGCTGTCTCTCGTCATATTTCTACAATGTCTGAGACTGCTGTTCATTTAACTCTTGATGTTTTTCTACCATCTGTATCATTGTTTACCACATGCTTACATGCCTTTACCTTTTTGACTCAAAATATTTTTCATAAGAGATGAGTGTAATCTAGTGTGGCTGAAATATTTCCCAGATCACTTTAATTATTTGTTTCAGCAACTCTTCTTTCATTCTCCATCTTTCAGAACCTCTATGTTTGAATGTTTTTGCGTTTAAATGAAATATAACCTATTGTGTAAATCTACGTTACCAGAGTCCCAGTTTGACTTTCTAATTGTGTTTGTGTGTATATGTATGTATGTATCTATATGTGTATGTATGCATGTTGGTGGATGTATCTATGCATATGTAGCTGTGTAAGTATATGGCTGTATGTGTGTGTATTTAGGTATGTATGCATGAATGTATGTTTGTGTGTAAGTATGTGAGTGTATGTATGGATGTGTGTATGTATGCATGTATGTGTGTGTATCTATGCATGCATGTATGTGGGTGTATGTATATGTGTTTCTATGTGAGTGTATATGTGTGATTGTGGGCATAAGTGGGTGTCTGTGTATGTGATTGTATGTGTGTGTGTAAGCATGCATGCATGTGTAGGTGAATATGTATGTAATGTGTGTGTGCATGCATGTGTATGTGTGTGTGCATGTATTTCTATGTATGTACGTGTGTGTTTTATGTCTGTGTATGTATGTAGGTGCGTGTATGTATGTATGTATTACAAATGTCTGTATATGAGTGTGTATGTATGACAATGTAAGAGTATGTGCATGTGTGTGTTTGAATGTGTAAGATTGTGTATTCATGAGGATGTGTAGGCATTATTCTATAATGTATATTTTTTTATTATATACATAAGATGCATTATTGATGACAAGCATTGGTACTCTGAAAGATGAGTGCTTAGAAGGGCCGAATGTCAGATGGGCCTGCATGCCCAATTTGTAACTCTTTGAAAATAAAGTTTGTTCGTTCGTTTGTTCATTCCAGGTCTCTGCATCATATAATAGTGTGTGTGATATGTAACATTTGAAATTCTCATTTTTTTCATATGTTGTTCATTTCTCTAGATGTCAATAAGTTAACAATTTTGTTCTTTTCCTCATTAAGTATATTTGGTGCGCAACCTGACTGCTACACCCGTAGCCTCCGATGCTGTCCTGCTGTCATGGCTACCCCCAAAGCGAGCTAGTAAAGTTGTGGCTTATACCATCCTAACACAACTAGTTCACGGGAAGGACAGACAGCAACGGAAGGTTGTGGCAAACAAAGAAATGCTGGAATATAAAGTTGGAACCCTTCAGCCTAATATG